AACTTACCCAATTTCGTTCAATCATTTCCAATTGTTATAACAATTTACAAGGCACAAAATCAATAATCTGTATGACTCGTGAGTTTTCATGACGTTAAGCAGGGATTTACTGATACTATTTCCAGCCATTAACCCGAGAACAAACTTAAATCTATATTAGAAGAGCTGACGCCAATACTTCAACGCATGCAATATTAACAAGAACTTTAAACACACTTATAACCGCGACTTGCCGGATTAAGTTTCATACTACTTAAATCAATCGACAAATAACTAATGCTGGATATCGTCAAGGAAGAATACAAACTCAATATAGAACTCCTAAATTATTCTGCAACTGAAACCGGCTTATCTCCCATTTCAAGCCAAAATAACGCGCAACAAATTAGATTAACTCAACAAACCCACGGAATGGAAAATGAATCACTCAGAACCAATCTGTAATAGATCGGACAAACGATAAAAACCCTAATTGCAACTGATGCACAGTATACCGATTGGATCCAACAAATAAACCGAAATGGGATGCTCCACAAGAGTCCAATGTGAAAAAATACCTTCCTGTACTTCTTCACCGGCGGTACGTTCACCAAACACCTGCGAGAATTTCCACTCCAGAGGCTGTGAGGAGGCCGCCGGAGCTGGCATAGCTTCATCGCCACCTTTCATATCTCCAGGGAACTAATCCAACTCACCCAGATACAGAAGAGCAAAAAGGAAAAATCCAGCCAATCCAATCACAGCATCAACCGATCGCTCTGGGGTTCACATAATCGCAGCTCGAAAACTCATCAAGAAAACAAAACCCCACCAAAACATTCCCGATTCAGCGATGTTTGAGCATGGAAATGCGTAAAGTCTCTGAGAAAAACTTGAAACACTTTGTTCGGGGATTTCTTCTCCGTCGAAGATGAGAATCTAGAGCTTTTAGCTGTGAAATTATCAGGAACAAAAAAAGATTTATGGGATTGAGACAGAGTTTGAGCAAACCGTTCCTTCGGTTTGTAGAGCCAGAGAAAACACTCTCCTTCTGGTGTAGCTCTTCAATACCGGGGTTTTTTTTTTTTTTTTTTTTTTTTAATTTAATAAAAATTTGTTCTGTATAAATTATAATCTTGGAGGGTCACGATAAAGTGACCTGCACGTGTGAGAATGCTGGCTTCAAGGGAATTTTGTTATTTCTAATTTAATTTGGTTTCTTTTTTTTTTTTTAATCAAATAAAGTGGAAATTTAGTTTTCATTCCTATATTTAGTTTGAATGGTTTTAAATTTATCCAATTGCTTTAATATCATTCCTCTAAACCTTATTAAATTTTCATATTTTTTTTTTAAAACAAACACAGATTTTTTAGACAAGGAAAATACCCACTCAAATAGCATCAAAATAAAATAAACAATAATACACGTTTTCCATCTATCAGTTCTTCTAATATGGACCGACTGTATTGGAAGGACTCCGGCCCATTAATAATTTCATCCAGGTAACACTCTAGGCTTGTTTAGAAACGATTCATTCTTTGTATCCACCAATATTTAAATACTTAGATTGGAGTATAAGAAATCAAAGCTATAATCATATATCCAATGATTATTAGAGGACACGCATATATCCAAATCCACGTCTTATAATTACTAAGATGATTATTCAAAATGTTGTAAAAATTGGTACGCCTCCTAATAACCCTTTCATACATATTCAAAATGGTTGCTGAACTCCACGTCTGAAATTAGTGTGTATTGTTGGCCCCAAGGCCATAGAGGTCCCCATAGAATTGTGGTAGTTGTATTATTGAGGAGGGCAAAAGCTGCATTATTGGAGAAACATGAATGGAGGGTAGCTGAGGGCAGAAACCAAAGCACAGAAGCAAAAGCCTAGCAGCTTGCAGCTGCTGGTTCCAATTGGGTGGCGTCCGTACATGAATGGAGCTTGGTGTTTGTCTCCTCTTTATCTCTCTGCTTCTTATTCTTTCATCTTTGGATTCTGATTCCTTTTCATTCTTCTTTTTCGTGTATGCTTCTTAATCCAACATTTTTCTCTCTCTCAACAATCTTCCAATCGTCCACTTCTTTTCTAGAATACAAATGAGTTTTACCTCTTTTAGCTCAATACCATAGGGTGGAAGTTCAAAATGCGAACCCTAACTTTGTTGTCCACTTTGACCCGTTATGTATCGTTGTCAAACTCACCGTTTTAAAATACGCTTACTAAGGAGAAGTTTTTATCCAACTATTATAAGACCTCACAATCTATCTCTTAAGACTCGACGTCCTTATTGAAGAGTGGGTAAGTAGCACAAAGGACAGAGATATGGTTCCAATGAATGCCACCAAAATTGGGAACAAAGCCAATGCCCCAGAGCTGAGTTTGTCGAACAATGTTTTCTACACATTAGACAAACTAAAGCAATTCCCACGTATAATGCTTCACATTCAGCAAAGATTTTACCTAATTTCACATTAACTTGCAAAATTTCACAGCCCCCAATATATTTACTTCCAAGATATTCCAAAATTTCCTCCCCTTTTTATGAATAAGTTGCATTTTTTTTATTATTAATTATTTGGTTGTTATTTATTTTTGCAATGTATTTTTTTTTTATTTGGTTTCATATTTCTATTTTGTTTGCTAACTTGATTTTTATGAGCTTAATTTAGGGATTATGATAATAAAAGTTGCTTTAATTAAAACCTTTAATAGAAGGATTTAAAAAACAAATGCTGCAAAAAATATATACAAAAAGACAAAATAGGATGGAGTAGATATTTGTGTGACCCATTTGAACTCATGTTTATGTCATTAAATAATACAATATTTATTAGATTATTTAAAAATAAGAGAAAAATAAGTTGGCTTCCTCAAACTTCCTTGTCACACAAATCACGCTTCAATCAATTTTATTTATAATCATGCATTAACATGATATGATTAATATCATTGTAAATTTTGTTTTAGTTTTAAAATATTTATCATATTTATTTTAATTATTAGTATCAAGGTTTTCTTTAATTCAATAATAAATTGTTTATTTTTAGTTTTTAAAATTTAAAGTAAAATTTTTAATATATCAATCCATTAAGAAAGATATATAAAAACATGCATGAAAACGTGGGTCGTAATGTATGAACCACACACTTATAACAAACCACATTATTTATTTTATTTATTTTTGTCTCTCGTCGAAATGGCCAAAAATAATGAGAGGAAATTAATAAAGTAAATGATAATAAACATAATTTAATTAAAAAAAAAATTTAAATAGGAGGGTTCGAAAGCTGCGACACGATCCAGGATACGTGGCATCGAAGCCGAGGACGTCAGCCGCCAAAAACGTCGTCTGGTCACTGCAGCGGCAGGGAGTAGGTGCTACAGTCACTCATCCGTGAGGTAAATCTCTCACCGAATTCTGGCGCGCGTGAAGAGAAAGCGTCGACGGCGTTGGGAAACGGTGACAGGCGACGGGGACAATCCCGGTGTGTGGAACCCACGTAGGGCCCTGCGAATGGGAGAGTATGGGAAGGTGGAGATTTTTCTTTTGTCTGTTATAAATGCTCACTTGGGATTGTGGTTGAGTTCACGTTTTTGCATTAATGAGAAGGTTCAAAAATTGAAATGGTTTTCAGATGTGTTGGAGAAAGTGCCCCCACCAATTGCTTTATTTACAATTTTGGGTNAAAAAAAAATTCAATTTTTTTTAGTAAAGCCAAAAAAAAAAAAAAAAAAAAAAAAGTAGAAAAAACCAACGTCTCTTATTTTGAAAAAATGTCAAAAAAGGAAAAAAAAAAAAAAAACAATATAATAAAACTATTGAAAATAAAAATAGTAATTATTCCCTTTTGTAGATTCTTGTCCTATATTTGTATTTGAATTTTGTAGGTAAAAAATTATATCGGTTGAGTTTAATTAATCTAGAGTGATTAAAAGAGTGAGAACGTTTATCTACTTTTAATCTTGATTTACCTTAGAGAGAATGATAAGGTGAAAGAGCTACTCGCACACGAGACGGGAGGCTCAATTTAAGACACTTTCGGACCAAACATTTTTAAACACTAAAATTCTTCGAGATCGGAAGGTTTACGCATTATGTTAATTAAGAACCTTGCAAGTTTGAAATTAAAAAATAGAAACTTTATATTAATTTTCTTAACTTGGTTAAAGACTATTTTGTTGGTGTTGGTGTGAATGTTCATCCCATTTTTCAAAAGGAAGATCTTTAACCAATCAAAAGTGGCATAATGTCTTTGGAAACTTCAACCCACTTTGGCTCAAACATTTAGGCGTAGCTTTATATATACAATAAAACCACACTTTTCCCAATAATACCTAAAAAAATCTTACAATATGGTAATAAGGTCACATGAAAAGTGGTTCCATTCAAATTTAGAGCATACTCTATATTTTTTGTGTTCAATCAACCAAAGCCTTTAATTCAAAATCAAATATTTTAAGAAATAAAAATAAAGTTAATGGGGTCCATTTATTCCTTCCAAGTATATTCTTAAAACAAAATTCCTCTCCTTTATTTTTGAAATTATAGTATTTGAAAACCCAAAGTAGGAAGGATAGTTTTGTAATTACTTTACAATGGAAGGGCCTTAAAGAAAATTGGCAAACTAAAACTTCATTCGGCAACTTGCTGAGGAAACTGATTAAATTGCAGGCTGGTGAAAGCACAGCATACATCCTCAGCTTTTTTTTTTTTTTTTTTTTTTTGTATTCATTCTCCCTATTCCCCACAGTTAAAAGATATTATAATTTTAATTAAAATTTTGGTTTTTTCACAAAAACAGATTAACCCATTGAAAAAATATAATATTTATCAACAATACATTGAAGGCGCTGGATTAGATGAATTAGTATGGTATGAAGTTTAATATTATAAGTTCAAATTGAGTAAAGAAGAGAATGAGCACCAAATGGAATATGTAAAGCATTCTATAAGATGTGAAACGTGGAATCATAGGAAAGTTTATGGATAAAGGTTGTGGGAGTTGTGATTCTGAAACTGATTTTGATATTAGCTTCCCTTGTGAGTGACCCAACGGATTTTGAAATTTCTCTATCCTCAACCCTCCTCTCTCCTTGAGACACACATACCACAAAGCTGATTGATTGTTCTTTTCACTCAACAGTTTCTCTCTCTCTCTCCAAAAAAAACTCTTGTACTGAGCTCAGGGCTGGGTGGAGGTGGTTGGCATTGCACAGAACAAGAGAGAAATAATAAAGAAAACCCAATTTCTTGATCTTGTTTTTATTGCTCTGTTTTCCCTTACAAATTCAGTCTACCCTCTCTTTTCGGACCCATTTTGGCTTGTTTTTGTGACTCAACTGGCTTTACGTGAAAGAAGAATGAGACCCATCAGAAGGAAGAGAGGGGAAAGGGAAAAGGTAATCACTCGCCAGGATTTGGATGACAAGTTGTTTCTGGGTTTTGTTTTTTTTAAATGTTTCTGAGCTGTTTTTTCTTTTTTCTCTGTTTTGATTGAAGATTGTTTTTGGGGGGTTTTCAATCGGTAGGTCGATGTGGGCGGCGAGTGTAAGAGCTCTGTATGTGTGGTTTTCATCATATTTTGAGCGACTGATTTCATTTTTCAGCTGGGTTCTGTGTGAAGTGATTCGCCTCTCATTCATTCATTGCACCACACAACAACAAGAGCTGGCTTCTGTCTTGTCACTGCCTCGATGCTATTTTGTTTGGACGTTAGAAGTGAACCATGTTGTTGTCTGAACTATCTTTTTTCTGAATTCCCCTCAAATCCCTGTTGAGAGAGAGAGCCATTTTTTCTGATGATTTGATAGCTCAGAGGAGGTGGTTATCTAAAAAACCAATAGAGAAATCAACTCTCCATATGGGTTTGCTTTCCTTTTTTTATTTACAAATTGCAAATTATCTCCTGATTCTCTCTGTTTTTAAGTTGAACAAGGGTTAATGAAGTTTTGGGGTATGTGGATGTTTAAGATTATGCTCTAAAATGCTGCGTGGTAACGTATGTAAATTGGTGTGAAAAGGGTCTTGTCATTGTTGGCTGGACTGAATTATAAGCATGTCGGTCGTGAATATTACTTGAATCCAACATTGTGGGACAGACCAATAATGTATATGTTTCTTGGTTTGGTTCTTCCTCAGCCATGTCTTTGAGCAGCAGTGGCGATACCTGCTTCTTGGGGTGTGAGAATTGACTTATAGAGTGTAGAAATTTCAACGCGGTAATGAGTCGAGAGCAGAAGCGGGGGAAGCAGGACAAGGGTTCTGACGATGTCCAGAAGGTGATTGTTGCTGTGAAGGCTTCCAAAGAAATTCCTAAAACTGCATTGGTTTGGGCGTTGACTCATGTTGTTCATATTGGAGATTGCATAACTCTGCTTGTTGTTGTCCCTTCTCAAACCTCTGGTACATTTCTCTGTTTCCCTCATTTTCATCCATGTAACTACTGAAGCATTTAGTGACGATCCAACCTCGAATTCTTTAGGTAGAAAATTCTGGGGTTTTCCAAGATTTTCCGGTGACTGTGCCAGCGGTCAAAAGAAATCTCACTCTGGGACAACCTCGGAGCTGAAATATGATATTAGTGATACCTGCTCGCAGATGATCCTGCAGCTTCATGATGTTTATGATCCAAATAAGGCAAGAACCTTAGTGTTTTTCTCATGTTTAAGGAGTAACATATTTCTTGAAACTGAACCTCTTATGTTGCAGATAAATGTGAAAATTAAAATTGTTTCTGGGTCACCTAGTGGGGCTGTTACTGCAGAGGCTAAGAGAGTTCATGCTTCCTGGGTTGTATTAGACAAGTAATTCCCTCTTCTGCCTACTTCTCAGTTATCCCACATCGAATTTTTTCTCTCTACAATGTGTTATGTAATTTCCTACTTGTTTCAGACAGCTCAAACATGAGGAGAAATGCTGCATGGAAGAGTTACAATGCAACATTGTGGTAATGAAGCGATCTCAGCCTAAAGTTCTTCGCTTGAACCTGGTTGGGTCTGGAAAAAAGGAACCAGAAGTGCTCTCTCCCTTACCTTTTGATATAGATGAAGGGTCTGAAAGCCATCACAAAGAACATAATGATCCTCTAGATTTTATTCGAGGACCGGTTGTGACCCCCAGTAGCAGTCCAGAGTTGGGCACGCCTTTTACTGCGACCGAAGCTGGAACGTCGTCGGTGTCGAGCTCCGATCCTGGAACTTCACCATTTTTCAACTCTGAAATGAATGGAGATACAAAGAAAGAGGAATTGTTTGTTATCAAGGAAAATAAAGAAGTAGATGCAGCTAGTTCAGACTTGGATATTGAAAATTTATCTGTATCTTCAGGGAGCTTAAGATTCCAACCATGGATGACAGAATTTCTAAGTTCTTCTCATCTTCAATCCTCACAACACATAACTGGAAGGTCACAGAGATTTGATGATATGAACCAAATGTCAACAAGAAAAGCTTTTCAACCAAAGTTTTCAAAACTTGATCGAGAAGCTCGAATTGAAATGTCAAGCCATAGAAGTGACAATGATTTTCATGGGGACGTTCGAGATGCAGTTTCGTTATCCAGGAACTCGCCACCAGGACCCCCTCCATTATGCTCAATATGTCAACACAAGGCACCAGTTTTTGGGAAGCCTCCAAGGTGGTACAGCTACGCTGAGCTTGAGCTCGCTACAGGTGGATTTTCACAAGCCAACTTTCTTGCAGAAGGGGGATATGGATCTGTTCACAGAGGGGTACTCCCGGATGGTCAGGTGGTTGCTGTCAAGCAGCACAAACTAGCTAGCTCTCAGGGAGACCATGAATTTTGTTCAGAGGTCGAAGTTCTTAGCTGTGCACAACATCGAAACGTTGTGATGTTGATTGGCTTTTGTATAGAGGAGAAAAAAAGGTTACTGGTTTATGAGTACATCTGCAATGGCTCATTGGATTCTCATTTATATGGTAATCTTTTGACTTTAAGCACTTTTGCATCTATCATTTGGTCATGTTTTGTTATTACTATTATTTTTTCAGTTTTTGGTTAAATGCTTTGATGAGTAAGTTTCAAGGTATAATTTTTTCAGGACGCCAACAAGAGCCATTAGGATGGACTGCACGGCAGAAAATTGCTGTGGGAGCAGCGAGGGGGCTACGATATCTCCATGAAGAATGTAGAGTAGGTTGCATTGTTCACCGGGATATGCGGCCGAACAACATTCTTATCACCCATGATTTTGAACCACTGGTACCAAAATTTCCTTTCTTCTTGGCAAACATGTATAAAATACTTCCCATGGCGTTCATAGATTTTCTTTGGCAAAGAAATAACGGTGAGCATCAGTTGGAGAGGAGAACAAACATTCTTTATAACGTGTTTTACAATCCTTTAGAGGAAGCCTAAAGAGAACAATATTGGCTAGTGGTGGGCTTGGTCTGTTACAAATGATATCATAGCCAGACACCAAACGATGTGCCAGCAAGGAAGCTGAGCCTCGAGGGGGGTGGACACGAGAAAGTGTGCTAACAAGGACGTTAGGCCCCAAGGAAGGTGGATTGTGAGATTCCACATCAGTTGGAGAGTAGAACGAAGCTTTCTTTATAAGGACGTGGAAACCTCTTTCTAGCAAACATGTTTTAAAAACCATGAGGAAACCCCGAAAGATAAAGAAGACAATATTTGGTAGCAGTGCATCGCAAACTACCCTACAGTCTGAACATAGTCTATGCATGTTCTTATCTTCCTTGGGATTGCTGAAGTTGATGTATCATTCTTCTGGTTTCCTTTAAACATTTCTTCAAGGCAATGTCTGATTTTCATTTTATTTTTTTCCTACTAGGTTGGAGATTTTGGCCTTGCGAGGTGGCAGCCTGATGGCGATACCGGCGTTGAGACAAGAGTTATTGGAACATTTGGGTAGACATCTGATCATATCACGTACACATTATCAATGATGCCTACTTGCATATCATATTGAATGAGTTGATTTTCTGTGGTGTAGGTATTTGGCTCCGGAGTATGCTCAAAGTGGCCAAATCACAGAGAAAGCTGATGTTTATTCCTTTGGGGTAGTACTGGTGGAGCTAATCACCGGAAGAAAAGCTGTGGACCTTGGTCGGCCGAAAGGTCAACAGTGTCTCACTGAATGGGTATGAATATTAAAGTTTAACACCTTACTTCAATATTCATTTCTTACATTCAAGTTCGTAACTGTTCATACTTTGTTTTTCCATGTCAGGCACGCCCCTTGTTGGATGAACTTGTCATTGACGAACTGATTGATCCGAGGTTGGGGAATAGCTTCACGGAGCATGAGGTGTACTGCATGGTGCACGCCGCATCGTTATGCATCCGAAGGGATCCTAACGCCAGGCCTCGTATGTCACAGGTGAGAGTCATCACATCTAAAACCATCTTATAAGAAACAACGTCCACAGCTCATAGCACTTACTTTTCAGTCCTTGAGGATCATCTGTCAGTACGTTTTTATGGTGAAGAACCTTGTTTAAGTGCCTTTAATCATTTGTCAAGATATTGTATTTCTGTATAAGAATGTGGTAGAAATCAAAATGTGTCTAAAAGCTAGTGATACAAGTGAGTATGAATGGACTTGACCATTCATTTTGCCTTTGAATTGTGAAGGTTTTACGGATTCTGGAGGGCGACCTCGTCGTGGATGCTAATTACTTGTCAACTCCGGGATACGATGTGGGAAATCGGAGTGGACGGATGTGGACCGAACAGCAGCAGCAAAACTACAGTGGCTCCTTATCAGAAGAGACCATAGAGAGGTTCAATGAAAAGGTGTGTGTTGAGAGCTTAAGACCAAGTTACTGGGAAAGGGACAAGACAAGGAGGACTTCAAGTGGAAGTGATTTGTAAAAAAGTGGGTAAGGATTCTTAGAATATATGCTATACTGCATCCTTTTATATACTGAATTTGTACTTCCCCGATTCATTCTTTTGGGCAATTCTTTTTTTCTTCACTAAAAGCTTTTGTTTGTGCATAGTTTTAGTATTATTAGTCACTGGAAAATATAAGGGTTCTTTTTTGTGTAAGTTCTTTAGGAAAGTTGTGTAAGGTAAAAAACCTGTATGAAGGTGATCTCCTAACTTCACACATTTGAATATGCATTTTACTTTCTTCTCTCGATCTCTTTGGTTGGTACCGATAGGGATGAATTGTGATGATGGGAGCTTTTAATCAACTAAATTGCACCATTTTTACAATGTAGGCATGTTATTCATTCAAACTTGACATGATTGGTAAATGAAACTTATTTTCAACCCTACATATTATTAACTTTTTTTAGTTTTAAATTTCATCTTAAAGTTTTAAATTTTTACTTATTTTATTGGAATACTTAAACTATTTAAATATCTATTTTAATTTGCTAATTTTCTATCTTTAAACCATGCATTTTTAATTATTTAGTCAAAGCCCTTATTTTAGTTTTAACAAATTATTAAAATATATTTAAATAATATGAGGTTGGAGGCCTTTCTTACACGGTTTGATGGAGAATCAAAGGAACTATTCTAGACAATATATACAATGTTTGAATATTCTTTTATTATTAATGTTAATATTATTTTTTAATATTCTATCCACTACAAATACTAAATTATAAATCCTATCTACGCTATCTAAATGGGGCTTGAGTGTGGAACTTTTTATTTTCCTTTTTGCTCCTTCCTAATTTAATTTAATAATACTTATATATTTATTATATATTAAACAATATTTGAATAACTACACAATAAAGAATATTAATAAATAAATAAGGCACTCAAAGTAGGAAGCCTTTATATACAAAGGGCTTGACTAAGAAATGTGGGGCCTACTAAACACTTGCCAGCTGCTGCCGCCCTCTCTTTAAAGTAACAATAATTAATTATATGCATTAATTGAGCTATAAATACCTTGTTATTTCCACCATTAATCACTAAGATACCAATGCATCCTTTTGACAGTGCATAAACATTTCCCTCTCTGAAGTATTGAGATTATCAATTTTAAAAAGTAAATATAAGGATTGGACTTTTGAAATAGGTATTTTTAAGTAACTTAATAATCAGAATGTCGACAATTACAAGCTAATAAATTCAGTTACAACACAAAATAAACAGTCAACAGAGCAAATCAGAAAAGAAAAATGAAGAACACGAAGAACAATAAACCTATTTGCATCACAAGAATGATAAATCAAGTGGAATTGGAAAGCAGAAATCGAATTACGTAGTTTCATCAATTTTAAATTCGAACAAGAACAGATATCACTGAAAGGAATCAGGAGAAGAAGAAGATGGAAGAATAACCTCTACAATTAAGAACAGGAATGAGTTCCGATCACGATCCAGGAGCCATCAATCCAGCAGCTTCTTCATCCAAGTAGAGATTCTCTGTTTTCCTCACGGCGGCGTGCGCCACAACGACGATGGCGCCAATCAGAAGCGCGATGACAATGTTGAGCGTGGCGTTGGTCAAGAACAAGAAGCCGATAGTGAAAATCGAGAGAATGAGGAGAATCACCCAGTCCTCGACGACGCGGCCGGCGAGAATGAGAGGCTGATCGCGGAGGAAGTAGAGGAAGAGCCAGAGGGTCATCATGACGATGAGGACGATGAGGGAAATCGGATGCCAGAGGAGGGCGAGGAAGAGGATTACGAGTACGACGATGGCGTAGTTCATACGGAAGTAAGCGAGGTTGACTTTGATGCGAGCGAGAGTGTCGTGGAGGTTGGAAGGGAGAGTGAAGGAGCGGTAGTCGGCGATTAGACGCCATGGACGGCGGTGGCCAAGGCCGTCTTTGAAGCGCTGTTTAGCGCGGGAAATGTATTCGAGGTTTGCGGCGGCAGTGGCGGAGGAGGTCGGAATGGTGCCGTAGGTCATGATTATGCCGCCGGAGAAGGAAGGGGGTTTGGTTTTGACTGGGTTTTGGGAGAATTGGAGATTGACAGAGATGAAGAAAATGATGAGGGATCTGAAATCAACACTGATTACTACGCCAATAAATTGACCCATTTATTCATTTTATTTTATTTTATTCAAATTTAATTTATATATTAAATTATGCAATTATACTTTCTATTCCTCCATTTCTGGAGCTTATTTAATTTTCTTAAATAAAAAAAAAAAAAAAGAAGAAAAAGGCATAAAAACACTCTTAAATTTGTTTTTAAACCCTTAAAAAAGTTACACGGTCGCTCAATTATAATAGTTTTGAAAGAGTCTTTTTGAGCCCACTTTAAAACCATCTAAACCATTGAAAATAATTCTGGTTTTAGTGAGTATAATTGAACCATCACAAAAACTAACTTTTTAGAAAGAAAATGAAAAATGTGCATGGGAGTGAGCATAGGTGATTCCATCCTCCTTGAATAAAGAAATTAAATCCAACACATTCAACCACTATTTGAAACAAGATATGGGTTGGACTCTAGTGTGGACAAGACCACACTAAGCTTCGTGGGGACAACAAAGGCAATTATAATAACAGGACGGCGTAGAAGAGCCCAAGAAAGCCAGCAAAGATGTGAGATCGGTTGACGTGAGATAGATAGGTTGAAATTAAACGATTATGACTTACAATTCTAGTGACTTATTTTATGATGCAAATCTAAGCATTACAATAATTATGACTTAAACTAGTATAAGGGAGCGAATGGGAAAGAGCCACGTGGATGTAGGGTATACCTGGTGAAGTGCCACTTGTACCAACAAGCACATGCTTTCGGCAATATAGTCCTTCTTGCTTTGTTTTTCAATAAATAAATAAATAATCAAATATATCATAGAAGGAAAATACCAAATGGAAACGAACAACTTCCCCAATTCCCCATGTTGCATTCTTATTGTTTCCTTTCAATTATTATTTATTTTCGACATATTTATACTCTTTCTTATTTGAATAATTTCTCTTAAATAATGACATGTTACTTGACCAACCTCGGTTCAATTGGACCTAAGGGCTTGGGCTTGGGCTTGGGCTTGGGCCTTCTTTTGTTTATTTCAAATCTTAACTTTCATTAATTTTTAATCTATTATTATTCTACTTAATATTATTAACCTAAAAGACAAAACGACTTCTTGTTCACACAAAGACCAATTGGGGTAATGTGATATCATAAGAAGCCTAATTACTTCTTTAGTATATGGTCACAAATGAACGGTCATACCAAATTATTGTTCTTCCTAGTAGGTTAATACGGGATTAATCACGTAATCAGATAGGGTTTAATTCCGTTGGGAAAAAGAAGAGAGGTATGGTGTTGAAGGGAAGAAATGAAAAATGTGATTGGAGTTGAACAGAATTGGGCTTGAAGCATAAAATAGTGGCCAATAGGTTACCTCTAAGATTGACATGGAAAATTCCACAAGTTTTTCCAACTTCCATTCAGACCCTTTGCATTCAATTCCAAGCTAACTCTCCTCCTTTCTTGCTTATCTAATTCCAGCACCTACCTTATCATTTCTTATTTAAGACACACGTCAAATTCCTGAATAGAACTTCTCATATTCTCCCTTCTTCCTTTCACTCACTCTGCTACAAAATTGTTTCAAGTTATGACAGTTCAGGGAGAGCATACGTTCTTCCACGGCACGCTCGAAGTTACCGTCTTCCATGCAACAACATACACACCGTCATCACCTCTGGATGTAAGTCCTGTACCATAACAATGAGGTTAAATTACAAGTTTAGTCCCTGAACTTTCGTGGTTGTGTTTATAGGTCTCTAAACTTTCAACTTTGTCTAATACGTCGAATAATAGAATTTCTATATCGTCACGAAAATAACATCAACAGCTTTTTCTCTCTTGCAGTGTATATTTTCTGGAGGAAAGCAAAGCTATGTGACCATCAAGATAAACAACATAGAGGTTGCTCGGACAAACCACGAATATGACCGTGTTTGGAACCAAACATTCCGAGTTCTATGTGCGCATCCATTGACATCTACCATCACCATTACAATGAGAACAACTCGTTCTGTATTGGGAAGATTCCAGATCCAAGCCCAACAGATTTTGAAAGAATCAAGTTTCATCAATGGATTCTTTCCACTTCTTATGGAAAATGGGAAGCCGAGTCCAGAGCTCAGACTTAGATTCATGCTATGGTTTCAACCGGCAGTATATGAACTAAGTTGGAAAAAGGTGCTGGAAAATGGAGAGTACAAGGGGCTGAGAAATGTAACGTTTCCTCTAAGGTCCAACTGTCATGTGACTCTGTATCAAGATGCTCACCATGTCTCTACGTTTCAACCTCCGTTTCACGGTTCGAGTGCGCCAAGAAGGCTATGGGAAGATGTGTATAAGGCCATAGATAATGCAAAGCATTTGGTTTACATTGCAGGCTGGTCCTTCAATCCAAAGATGGTGCTGGTAAATACAAACAATCACCTATCTTTGTTAAATTACAAACTTCAGTCCATGAATTTGTAACCGCTAATACTCTTTTGGTGATCAGGTAAGAGACCCTCAAACTGATATACCCTATGCCTTGGGAGTAAAGCTTGGTGAGTTGTTGAAGCAGAAGGCAGAGGAAGGAGTAGCAGTGAGACTAATGATATGGGACGACGAGACATCCCTTCCCGTCATCAAGAATGCTGGGATAATGAAAACACATGATGAAAATGCTCGGGCATATTTCTCGAACTCGAAAGTTGTATGTAGGTTGTGCCCCAAATTACATCCTATGTCTCCACCAATTTTCTCTCATCATCAGAAGACCATAACAGTAGATGCTCAAACTCACATCAACGCAAGGAACAGGGAGATTATGAGTTTCATTGGGGGTCTAGATCTTTGTGATGGTCGCTATGACACAGAACAACATTCATTGTTCCATACTTTGAACACAGAATCCCACTGCTGTGATTTCTACCAAACGAGTATATCAGGAGCCAAGCTTCAAAAAGGAGGGCCAAGAGAGCCATGGCATGATGTTCATGCTCGTGTAACAGGTGAAGCTGCTTGGGATATACTAACAAACTTTGAACAACGATGGACTAAGCAATCAGATGCTTCGTTGCTAGTCCCAACAAGCATCTTACTAAAACTGATGCCCCCACTTGAATCAAACACAAACCCACAAAAGGATTGGAACGTACAAGTTTTTCGATCTATCGACCACTTGTCTGCCAGCCAAGTTTTCAGAAACTTGACGGTTGAACGCACCATCCACGAGGCGTATGTCGAAGCTATCAGAAGAGCCGAGAGATTTATTTACATCGAAAACCAATATTTCATAGGAGGGTGTCACTTGTGGGACAAAGATCAACACTGCGGATGCACGAATTTAATACCGATCGAGATTGCGCTCAAGGTGGCTAATAAGATCAAGGCAAGGGAGAAGTTCGCAGTTTATGTAGTGATTCCAATGTGGCCAGAAGGGCCACCAGAGAGTGAATCAGTAGAGGATATGCTACATTGGACCAGGCAGACAATGACAATGATGTATAGATTGATTGGAGAAGCAATCCAAGAAACTGGGGAGAAGGCCCATCCAAGAGACTACTTGAATTTCTTTTGCCTTGCGAACAGAGAAGAAGAGAGAAAGTGGGACTTTGTTCCCCCTCACAGTCCACAACATGCAACAGAATACTGGAGTGCCCAACACCGTAGAAGGTTTATGGTCTATGTCCATTCCAAGGTCATGATAGGTAAGTTTTCAAGTATTCCGAGCATCGTTTCTAAGGGGCATTTTAACAAACAAGTAGAGGGCAGTTTTAATAACATAATAATGTCAAAACAAACAAAGAATTGATTTATGAGTTTTGGATCTCATTTCAACAAACACAAATGACAAATCTATTATCCATAAAAGTGATGATGGGTTCATTACATATTCAAATTACTACGATTTAAAGCAAAAGTGTAGAAGAAGTAGAAACTAACCATAAACATGTGGGTGCTTGCAGTGGACGATTTGTACCTTCTGATCGGATCCGCAAACGTGAACCAAAGATCTATGGACGGAGAACGTGATACAGAAATAGCGATCGGATGCTACCAATTAGAAAACGACGGAAAAGAATTGCCAAATGGAAGAGACATTTCAACATTCCGCTTGTCGCTTTGGTACGAACATACTCAACGATTCGAAGAGGTGTTCTTAAACCCCGAAAACTTGCAATGCGTTGAAAGGGTTCGTTCAATAGCAGACGAATCGTGGAAAATTTACAGTGGAGAAGAAGTTGCAGACATGAAAGGTGTTCATCTGGTAACGTACCCTGTGAAGGTAAAACAGGACGGATCGATTGAGGATTTGGAAGAAAATGGAGGTCATTTTCCTGATACTAAATGCCCCATTAAAGGAAGAAGATCAATGTTCTTGCCGCCCATTTTCACGACCTAATTTTAATGGAGACTTGAATGGCGATGACCAAGCTCTGAGTTTGCATTTACTTGCTCGAAGATCCATGAATGAGATGACCCAACAGGGGAATTTGTGGTTTGGAGGGAAAAGTTCAAATCTTTTTTCATTTATACGTTTGTATACTGTGAATAAATCATTAATAAGGTTTTCCAAGAAGAAATAGTTCATCATTCAATAATCATCTTCTATACCAGCCTTCACATAAAAGCTTCTTACTTCACTAGCGTTCATAAATTGGTAAAGGACAAGCATTTTCTTCATCAACCTCAATCTTCTTGATAGATAGGGGTACCAAATTCATTCATTTCAAATTCAATATAAACACACAAATAGGTCGGGCCTAAATTTAGAGTAGACTCTTCTTTGTCTTAGAGTAGACTCTTCTTTGTGAGTACATAAAGATCTTCGTAGAACTGGGGATGGAGTCTCAGTTACGGTTCATGCAACTCGTTAAGCATATCGATCTACTATATAGAAGGATATTCTTTTTAAAGAGTATTCCTACTAAACAATAGGAAATGGATTAAAGGCGATTTTTTTCCGTTCCTACTTACATTCTACAACTATATCTATTAGATAACATTGGAAACTAGCCATAAAAACCTTAATCCATATACTTCATTCTAGTTCATATGCTTTAAAAATTGTGACAATTAATCGGTAGAAAAATATTGTTCAGATTTAATGAAATTTCATAGAAGAAATAATGAAGAGGTTTACTTTCCAACACAATAGAAAAGATCATAAATACAGTACTGCAGCATGTTTGAACAATTTGTCTACTAAATACACGTTGACTTTAACATTTTTCTTCTAGGAAAAAAAAAAATAGAACTCTTTCTTGTACATCAAATTCCCAAACAACTTTCACCTTCCTGTCATGTGTTGGTAAAAGTAGAGTAGATGGATCTGTTCGAAGGGTTAAGTGGTAGTATTCGGCATACCCACTTTTGCAATGGCAACACAGTGACTGCAGGACACTAATAATTGTCTGAAGTCATCAAGTTTGATAATCAACTCCATGATCGGCCACCACCAAAACCCCTTCCACGATCTCGGAACCCCCCATGACCTGATTAAGATGAAATGTTGATACTCAACAACATTCTTGACTACTATTCCTTTTATCCTTGGTATTGATTCTTGAAAGTATTTTGGCAGTAATGGGAACAAGAACACCATTTCACTTGCATGGAAATAACTAACCTGAGGGAGGAGGAGGCGCACCACGACCCATTGCTGCCAGTTCAGGACTAACCTTCTGTCCAGCTTCTTCAAGAATCGCTATGAGTCCTTTAGCAAATCTTGCATTAGCAGCGGTAAAGAAAGTGTATGCAGTTCCTTTTGCTCCAGCTCTTCCTGTTCGACCAATTCGGTGAACATAATCCTCAAGAGATCCAGGAAAATCGTAATTTATTACATATTTTACGTCCTTTACATCTGCAATGGAATGACATTATTAGGAAATATTAGAGAGAGCAATAAAATGGTTCATCAAAGGCTTCAGCCACAAATTTCAATAAGCTAGTATATTCTTTTTCTCCTCAAAGTTTTTAAAACGCTGTCTGCTAGGGAGAGTTTTCCACACCCTTATAAAGAATGTTTTGTTCTCCTCCTCAATCGACGTGGGATCTCACATATCTACGATAAACTGTCGCACCTTAAAATTTTCATATACAATACATACCTAAACCACGAGCAGCAACATCTGTAGCCGTCATTATAGGGCTCTTGCCAGACCTAAATTCTGAGAGGACCCAATCCCTTTCTGCTTGACTCTAATCACCATGACTTGAAAGTGCAGGCCAACCATCCATGCGAAGCTGTCGGGTAATTTGATCACTGCCTTTCTTGGTATCCATAAAGATCAGGATTCGACTCCCATCCATTATATCCTCCAGCAATTTCACCAATCTGGAAAACTAGTCAGTACCAGTTACTTCTTATCATACCCTGACCGGCTTATGGGAAATTGATCCCCAAAAAAATAAGTAAACGACAAAAGATCCCACAAGCTCCACTCACTTGTTATATTTCTGATTTTCAGAGACGATATCAACATGTTGGCGTATGGCATGATTAGCTTTCAGGTCTGAAGAACCGATGATGACCTGGGCAAATTACATAGACAAAAAAAGTCGATTACAACATTAAGAATATTAAAGACCACCTTCTCCTTCCCCCTCCACCCACAAGAGAAAGAATAGTAATATATTTATATTTTGAAGAAAAAATTTTGCAATTACCATCTTCAAATATGTTAATCAATATTAATCACCAACCATCTTTAAGCTTCTCCTCAAGGTTTTTAAATGCGTCTACTATAGAGAGGTTTCCACACCCTTACAAGAAATGTTTCGTTGTGATCTCAGAATCCACCCCTTTAGGGGCCAAAGTTCTTGCTGGCACATCACCTGGTGTCTGGCTCTGATACCATGGGTGACAACCCAAGCCCACTGCTAGCAGATATTGTTCTCTTTCAGCTTTCTCTTCAAGAGCTTCGCCACAAGGTTTTAAAACGCGTCTACTGGGGAGAGGTTTCCACATCCTTATAAGAAATGCTTCGTTCCCTCCTCCAACCAATCTGAAATCTCAGATAATATTGCATAAGACCATATTTATGTCCCCTCATATGGATGTATGAGTTAGTTTTTACCTTGTATGGATTGTATAGAAACTTCCTGGCCAGTTGTTCAACTTCTTTAGGCCAGGTAGCACTCCAGTACAAAGTTTGCCGATCAGGCCGAATCTGTATTGAAAATAAAGTAGCATTTGAGAAACTTATAAGAATTAAGCACAACACAATTTAATGTCAACACCAACTAACCCATAAAAAATGAGCACAAGTAAAGCCACCAAAAACACACATAAATGCTTGGCTCAAAAGCTGGCTGTCAACCAGGACTGCACCACAAGCCAAGAAAATACAACTCAGTTTTAACAAATTTTCTGAACAGCCGATTCATTTAGAGTCGGCATTATCATACAGAACCTAATTCCAGCAAAATTTTCAGACCCAAAAAAATTTAAGAGAGTAGAGGTCTAGAAGAAAAGTGAGTTGCAAAACATCCCAAAACTGGGGTTTTCGAACAAACCACAGGTCCCAAACTACCAGAAAGTTACCCTTTTTACTCGATATTTTTTGCAACTTTTATCTTTAGATCTATTAAGCCTATGCAAAGACCAAAGACATACAGTAATGACAGTAATGTAATTACATGTAGGTAGAACTTAAACCTGTGAAACAATTTTTCGTATTTGAGGGTCAAATCCCATATCTAGCATCCGATCAGCCTCATCCAGTACAAGGTAAGTAACCCTTCGTAAGTTTGTATGATGTGACTCCATCATATCAATCAATCTTCCCGGTGTAGCAATTACAATTTCAACTCCTGATGTCAGTATTTTAAGAAGGGGTCATTCATCTTGCTATCATAAACAACGAAAAGAGGAAACAAAAAAACAAGAAATAATCACACTAGGTATGGTAGTAAGAAGGAAGTGTTCATTGACACCTCAAACTTGGTTAGTATGGGCATCTTGAATTTATTTCACCATCTACCTTTCTGAAGATCACGCACTTGAGGTCCTTTGGGAACACCACCATATATGCATGTGTTCTTAATCTTCGAAGATGCACCAAATTTTGTAGCTTCTTGTTGAATTTGAACTGCAAGTTCACGAGTAGGAGCTAGAACTAACACAATTGGACCATCTCCAGGAGCTGAGAAAAATTATGAAATGAAAAAAATGAAATCAGTCCATTTGAACATAACGACCACAGCTAGGCATTTACAGTTTGCATATTATTTTCTTACAAAGGATTGGCTGGGCATTGACATGGACAATTGCAGGCAAAAGGTATGCAAGTGTCTTCCCCGACCCCGTTTCAGCAATACCAATGAGATCTCGACCTTTAAGTGCCATTGGCCATCCTTGGGACTGAATAGGAGTAGGTTCAGTGAAGCCAGCTTTGGCAATTTCTTGCATGACATAATCTGACACGCGCCATATGTTCATAATATTTGTATACATAAATTATAATGAAAAAATGTACACTCAAGAATAATGCTTAAACTTTAAAGATGACCAATAAATGAAATATAAGGAATGTACCAGGAAAGCCAACATCACGGAAAGACTTGACTGGTTTTGGAACATCACGACCTTCTACAGTGATTTCCCTCCTTTTTCGATACTCCTCAACCTCTCTCTCTGTCATTTCCGCCACTGATGATGCCTCAATGTAGAAGTTCTTCTCAAAATGAGGTAATCCATCCAAATCCACCTTTTTTGGGGCCTCCGAACCATAATAGTCACTCTTGCTAGAGGAGGATCGCACTGAATTGCCATACCCTGTAGACCCACCAAAACCTGAATCACTGCAGCACCCCAAAAAACAGGTTGAAAGAGAGAGCCCCGTCATTTAAGAAAATAAACATAGAATCACCCAGTTGGTTTATCCTAAGGAGTCAATGTAGATACATCAATTTCCAAAAAGAACAATAAGCTACATCTACAATAATAATAATAATAAATAAATAAAAAAACAACTTGTAAACAGGCCAATTTAGAAGATTGGTATGAGAAATCAGTAGTTGATTTAATTTGGAGAGTTTAATCTTCGAAATTTTGTTTATTCAAAAGAAGAATAAAAAAATAAGGAAACAGGTGAAGGAGCTCAAGATCAAGCCAAAGGAACAACAAAAAAAAAAAAAAAACAAAACAGTTGGCAGGTATTTACACAGTTCCACCTCACTAAATGGGACCCACGTTCCTCCTCCACCTTCTCCCATGAAATCTTTTCCAAGTGTTCCTTCGGCATAACGGCTTCTGAAAGCTATTTCTATAAATTAATCAAGTTCCTACTTTACAAAAATCTACTACTCACGTTATGTAGTCACCAGTCCATGATTTTTTTAAATAGATAACCTCGATTATAAAATTAAGAAAAAGTAAAATAAAACCTCACAAGAGAAAACAAGATATATAAACAATTATGCAATTACGTTCCAGCTCCAATGAGAATGGAAGAGAAAAAAAATATTTCAGAAACCAAAAACAGCTTTTAAACTCTTCGATTAATCAACGAAAACCCTTCGCCACTAGAAAAAGCTGAAAAGAGTCCAACTGAAGCCATAATCTGAATACTATTCAATCAGCTACAGTGTAAT